TTTTATTTTCTCAGGAATACAACATATAAAACTTTTCATTCTATCAATTGTCTACCCCATTCCCAGTTCCTCCCCTCCCTCCAATGGCTTCCCACAATGCTTCCACCCCTGCTCCAAATTACTTCATATCATCAACAATATCAGTTTCTCATCAACAATATCAGTTTCTCATGAAATCCATAAAGGTTTTCTTGATCTCTTCCGGTTTCTGTGTTATATTCCTATTTACTCTAATGGCTCTCACTCTTTGCTTTTCTCTTTTGCTCTTTAAGTAGTTTGCTAATCTTTTGACTGAATTTATTGAATTCCTCTGGAATTCATCTCTTACCATGACTTGTTTTTTCCATAGTGCCCTTGAGTCTAATGAATCTAATTGTTTCTTTAATTCTGTAATTAATTTGTTTCTATTGTGACAAAATTTCTGTAATTGCTGTTTTTGTAGATTCTCTAGTTCTTGTATCTTATCATTTCTTACAGAGTACCATCCTTTTTTTAATTCTTTCTCTTTCATTATACACTGGCCCCTAATTACAGCCTTGGCTGCATCCCAAAGCATGTCTGTAGTTACTGTTCCTCTGTTCTCCTGAAAATATAACTTTATCTGGTTTTCCATATACAGCTTATCCTTTCTTTTAGACATAATCATGTTATTGTATCTCCATGTTTTCTTTTTTACTCTATCCCTGTTGATCTCTATTTCTAGGCTAATGGGGGCATGATCTGAAATCCATATTGGGTGTGTAACTATATTTTTTGGTTCCCATTCACCAAATTCTTTAAGTATTATAAAGTCTAAACGTGAGGCTGTTTTATGTCTGTTTGAAAAAAATGTTGGTTGTGGCGTCAATCCCAATGCTTCATATGCTTCTATTAGGCTCCATTTTTTTCCATCTTATTACATTATTTTTAGTAACATCTAGATTACAGTCTCCTGCTATCAGCAGTTGTCCTTCCGCAAATTTCTGTATTTTTGAGAAAATTTTTATCAAAATTTTTTTTGTCCTTTATTGGGAGCATAGATATTTACTAATGTTATTAATTTGCCTTCAAATAAACATTTAACAAACAGATATCTTCCCTCCTCACTTGCTATTATTTCTCTTATCTTAATATCATGCTTCTTATGTACTAATATTGCCACTCCCCTAGCCTTAAATTCACTTCTAGCCTCAGCCAGCACCACCCATGCTGGGTCTTTAAGCAGCGGTTTATTATCCCTCTTCGGTTTATGTGTTTCCTGCAGGTACATAATATCTATGTTCTGTTGTTTGGTAAATCTGGAGAGTCTGTATCTCTTTAAATCAGAACTCATACCATTCACGTTCAGTGTCAGCACTTTTAACCTTTCAGCCATACTCTTTTACTCTAAGTTTGCCTCCCCCTTTGCTGGGGATTACCTTCACACTCAGGTGGCAGGGGAGACCACTCCAGGGCGGCCACCCTTCTGGGATCCAGAAACCTGCTATCCTAAGGTTTTCTACAACCTCAGCTGGCAGGCTGAAGTAAGTAGGGATCATTGACTGGCAGGCTTTGTACATCTGTAACAATAAAATTATGGCCAATTTTATTCCAGTTTTATTCAAAAAAACTGTGTGTGTGTGTTATTTCAAACCTGGATTGCAAACGGGGTTATTGGTAAGGGAATGAGGGAACCCCTCGCCTTCAGCACCCTCCATTCCCCCAACCACTTGGTGCTTGGGCCACAAAGGAACTACAAATGCCTTGTAGGAACTGTTATATTTAGACCGATTTCCCACAAGTTGCTGCTCTGCCCTCGCTCTTCCCTTTCCCCCAATTGTATGGGTCAATTTCCCACTACTTGTGGCCACATTTTGACCCGCAGCTTTGCCCGATTTCCCACGCGTCTTCTTGATCCTGTTTTTTGAGGATCAAAAAGATGCGGGGAAAATCGAGTGAAGCTGCGGGTCAAAATGTGGCTGCACAGCATGTAGTGGAAAATTGACTAATACAATCGGGGGAAGGGAAGAGTGAGGGTGCTGCAGCCGCTTGTGGGAAATCGATCCTAGACTTTGCTCTCTTAAAAATGAGGTTTATGAAAGTCGCAACTGAAAATTCATGTGAAAGGAAGTATAAATAGCTACTATTTGAAAACCCTTACAAGGTTATGACATATGTAATGTTAAAGGATGTCCCAAGCATTCCAGGCTCTCAGAACTGGTCACAACCCAAGGTGTTTGCCTGTTTAATTCCCATTGTTCAGTAGAGTTAAGCCTGATTCTCTGGTGAGCTTGGCAGTGGCAGTGGAGGAGGAAATAGCTAGTATGGTCATTCATTCATTCATTCATTTTCATTCATTTTATTCTCTTTTCTTCTCAGTGGGAATCGAAAGTGGATTAGGTAAATGTAATTTAAATTAACCATTAAAACACAATTAATTACAATAAAAAGTGTGATAAATATAATAAAAACTATAATAAATTATAATAAATTATAATAGACTATATCTTAAGCTGATCCTAGACCCACAAAAGTGACCCACTCACAGTGATAGGATGCAAAACTTTGGCTCTTGTCCCTTTGGTTGTGCCAAAAGACACATCTCCAGCTACACTCATGCTTACATACCTGCAAACTGGAAGGGAGAAAGAAACTCATCTTAGATTTTGTTAGCTGGCAGATTTTCACAAGATTTCCTCCCTTGAAGGGAAATTCTTAAAATACCTCTACCAGCTAAGGAGATAGTTTGTTAAATAGTTAATTGTAACTAGAACATTAGAGTGTCAGATTAAGAATGGGGAGACCTCAAAGCAGTCATGAAGCTTCCTGACTGAACTGGGTGTCAAGCTCAGGCCTCACTTGAAAAATGTTTTCTCCATTTGTTGTATTATGGAGTTTGTTTTATGGAGTTGTATTATGGAGTTGTATTACATTTCATTTATTGTATTATACTCACATTCATGTAGTCTCTCATAGCTCACATGTTTCATGCTTTATGCCTCACTGGTTATATTCTCTGCTGCTAATTGGGAGGGGGAGTGGATGCGTATGGCTGGCTGCTTTGCTTGGTTAGTGCTAGATTGGAACAGTTTTCACGCAGGGGCAGGGGTCGATTCGGGGGGATCGCGGGGGATCGCCATTCCCCCGGGTGAGGTGCGGGGGGGGGCACACGACGAAGCCCTGCCCCCTGCTTCCGGTCAGGGTAAAATGGCGATTTGATGCTCAGGGTGGACGGGTGTTCCTTACAGCAGTTTGGACTGTATTTTGGTCCAACGCGGCTTCCCCTAGGCAGGGGGAATGACTGGCAGGCATCAAGACCCAAGAGAGAGTTGAGATTGGTGTGATCAACTCTCGGAGGAGGCTTGTATTACACTTTGATCCCATCTCCCGAAGTGGGCGAGCGCATTCAGGGGGTGTGGCCTTATGACACACTTCCGGTGATGTCAGGGTGTGTGGCATATGCTAATGAGTTATGCTAATGAGTTCCCCTAGCTCTTTTTCTACAAAACGACCCCTGTGCAGGGGCCTCCCAAGTGTGCTGGGAACAACTTGGGAAGTATATGATTTCATTGTTCTGTCTGACCTTGTAGTCTGAGGAGCTTCTAGAGAATGTAACCATTAGCTTGCAGGTGTTAGGGGCAATCACATGGGCAGGGCAGATGTTGGGAGCAGCCTAGCCAAAGTAAAAAGCGTTAGAGAAGGTCATGTCATCAAACATAGTTTCAGCCACAAATTTTACAGAAGCTAGAATACTGCATTCAATAACATATTTTTAAATTTAAAAATGAGTGAATATTAAAAATTGGATGCATGATGGGGATCTTTCATCTTTATGTAGAGAAGAAAGACAAAAAGGCCATATATGTGGAGTACATAAACCCAGAAAAGAAGGAATGGCTAAAAATACAGTGGAAAAGACTACGAATTGAAAGGTTTTCCCAGGGAGAAAATCCTGTCCCCTTTTCTACCTGCATTTTGCTCCATTGGCTGAGTGGAAGAGCTTCTGCTTTGCATGTAGAAGATCCCTGGTTAAATATGCGTTTAGTTCCTAGCATCTCCAGTAAAAAAAAAAAAAACAGGCAGTAATTAATGCTCCCTCTAAGCTGTAGAGTCTCTTGAGCAAAAATTCTACTTTGTGAGCTACTGGCATTAAAGTTGTAAGTGAGTGATTTAGCTACTGCATAAATTAGTTTGCTCTGGAGCCATCCTTCCTGAGCTAAGTCAAAAATGTGTGAGCTGGAGGTTAAAAAACTGTGAGCTAGCTCACAGTAACTCAGCTTAGATGGAACATTGGCAGTAAGCGATGTGAAAGACCTCTGCCTGAGACTCTGGAGAATTGGTGCCAGTCTGCATACACAATACTGACCTTGATAGACTACTGGTTTGATTCAGTATAAGGCAGCTTCGTGTGTGACCATATGTGACCTAGTACTCATGTTCAAGATGTTCTTCCCTACTACTGATCTAGAAATCAGTGACCTTCCTGCACTGGCCAACTTTTCACTATTCTGTCCCTATCTTCAGTTGCATTACTCCTGGTTTTCCATCTTTTGTCCCCTCCTTCTGTAGGATATGTATAATGAATCTGGATAATTTTATGTATTTATTATTTAAAGTATTTATATGCTGCCATTCTACTCAGATAGGGTTGCGTCTCCAAGGTGGTGAACAACAACAAGGCATTAAAATCTTTAAAACATTAAAAGCACATAAAAGGAAAGTTTCTTCACCATGACTGAGAAGGCCCTTTCTCAAGTTGCCATGCACTCAGCCTCAGATGGGCTGCGATCACACATACTAAATAATCCACTTTCAATGCACTTTCCAATGGAATTTTGCCTGTTCACGCAGTATAATCCAGTTGGAAAGTACATTGAAAATGGATTGGAAGTGGATTATTTAGTGTGTGTCATCGCAGTGGGAGCACCCAAAGCATAAGAACATAAGAACATAAGAGATGCCAATGTTGGATCAGGCCAAAGGCCCATCCAGTCCAACACTCTGTATCACACAGTGGCCAGAAATACCAGTGCCATCAGGCAAGGCATCTGAAGATGACTGGAGTAGAGGAATAGGTTCATATGGGAGAAGGTGGTCCTTAATTCGGTCCATTTTTACAATCTAGGAAAACCTATAATTAATGTTCAGCATGGTCAAGGCAGATAGCAACCAACCACACTTAAAAAATAATCATTTAATTAAAAAAAAAAAGAAAACCAAAAGCTGAATAGGTTCAAAGAATGCAAATCCCAAGATCTTTAATAACCAAACAATTCAGCCACAAATTATGCTCTGAAAGAGAACTGTCTCACATTGTCTTCAGAAAGACAATGATGAAGCAGCCTTGGATACCTCTCTAGGAACCCATTTTGAAGAACCAGGAGGACTGTGGCAGAAAATGATATTAATATTACCAAGGAGGTTTAAATCTGATGAGCAGAAGAAACAGGCAAAAGTATCTGCTGTGAAGAGCTAAGCAGGCACATGTGATTTTATGTGCATCACAGTAGAGATAACTTACAATAGGGTGGATCACAGGTGTGATGGGAGCAGAATACAGAAGAAGGGAAAGCTTATTAATCAGATGCAGACTGTAAAAAGCACTCCAAGCAACTGTGTCCACCCTATCTTCATGTTGCAGGGAAGAGTCCAAGTGTACTCCCTAGTTTTTAACTAGATCTGACAAAGCTAATTTCACTCCATCAGGCAAATCAGTTCATTGGAGGACATCAGCTTTACCTATGAGCATCGTATCCATCTTGTTTGGATTACACAGATTGTAGATACACACACATACACACAAATATTGGGTCTCATCAACAAGTTGTCACAGAAGATCCTGCTCCACCTGTCATATTTGCATAAATTCTACAAATCTGTGTGAGGAGATCAAAGTGTCTTAAGCTGCTCTGTTCATGTTTTATTCATGTTTCTAACCTCCTTCTATTTACCTGCTTAACAATCTGCCAGAAGTAGCTGTTGGCAAGCAGCAAATTACTCATTTAGTGGACATCTGCTCCAATTTTTTAAAATGAATAATTACCTGATGATAAATTTGTGGGGCCTATTCAGTAGTTCTGCATGATGAACATTCTCAGAAATCTCAAAGCCTTTACTTAATAAAGAAATGTACAAATAGAATAGCTCTGTAATGTGCAGAACAATAAGATATTGAAAGGTAATTTCTGGTTAGACACCAGTAATTAGGTGGGTAGGACTCAATTTCTCCTTTTCAGCTTCCCATCTTAGAAAAAGGGAATAGATTTACCTCAATGTGGGTTAGTTGTGAGGATGGTAAAATGAGAATGGTACAGGATGAGAATGGTTGAGCACTATGTATTTTAGAATGCTACACAAATGCTAAATAAAAATGAATCTTGAGCTTTGTCTTGAGCCCTAAGATATGCATCTCGAACCCAGGACCGGTGTTACCATTAGGCCAACCTAGGCAACTGCCTAGAGTGCAGACATCAGAGGGGCATAGAACTGACACCGTAGTGAAAGGTGCAGCAGCAACATGTTCCTCGGCACCCCTGGCTCAGGAGCAGCTCAACTTCCCCACCGCGGTGGTGGCGAGTGCTGCAGCCGCCGCTGAGCTTGGCCAGATGCCCTGGCATCTCATCAACACCTGCCCAGCTGCAGGCTACCCCCCATGCACTGCTGCCACCGCATCCCCACTGGAGAGGAAGAGGGCACACTGCTGGGCAACTCTCTTCTGGCTGGGTGAGCTCTCTCTCATGTTTGGGCGTGCTGTGCAGAACGAAGGCAAGGGGGCTGAGTTCAAAAAGCCACAGGTCACTTGCTCCTGAACAGCTCGATCATCTGGCTCTCTCTGTAGTCAGCCTCATTGAGGAGTGCTTTCCTACCCTTAGGAATGTGTGCTTTTGATTGAAATGGTATTGCTAATCTGAGTTAGAGACTGTGAGAATGGAAAAGCGAGGACGTTATTCCAGTTTAGGTGTTCTGAGTTGTGACAGAGGCACTCGTGGCCCACTGTGATTGAGGACCGAAGGGCGCTGCTCTCTTCTGTGAGTGTCTGGCTGAGCAGTGCCCTTCGGGCTCCCCATTGCTGTGCAGCTGGCCTGAGCTGTTCTGATGCCTGCTGTGTTGGTGGTGGCTGCTCTCTCAGCTTCTCGTGGTGTCTGTTGATCTGAAGCAGATCTGGACATGATGCGGCTCCCCCCCCCGCCCCGCACTTTGTATGATCCAATCCTTATCTTCCTCCCCTGACTTTCCTATGCATTACCCCCTGCGATTTTTTCCTTTCTCCTCCCCACTCGAGCTGGAGCTCTCTTTCAGTCCTTGATCTCCTTCCCTCCCCCCCACCCGAAACGGACTGGCTTCTCCAAGTGCAGAGTGGACTTTTTAATAAAACTGGATGGCCAGGCAGCGGCTACTGCATGGAGGGAGATGGTTGGGAGCCTGCAACCTTGTGAACGGGAGTGATTCTGTCATGAATGTTCTCTTGGGACAGATTCTGCAAAATGTTACAAGACCTATTCCAGCTGCTGGGGCTTCTCTTTCCCACACATTCCTATCTGACTAGGCTTATATTGCAAAGTATTTAATTATTGTTTTCCATTGCTTTTGGTGCCTGTGGAACTCCCTGTGTTAGGTCTGATCTGAGTAAGTGATTTCTCCTGTAGAAGCTGGGAGGTGACCTGAGTTCACCAATGGATTATGAGCCAATTGCGTGTGGACTGCTTGGTGTTGCAATAAATGTTCCATCTAATTCTGCCCCCCTGAGTGGAGCAGTTCACATCCTGAGCAGAATATAACTGCTGTAATCTTAAAATGGACAATAGGCAGTACAAGAACCTGTGCAGTTCCAGATTGCTGCTGAGTGAGGATTCCTGTGTTAATGAGCGGCCGCTCAGGCACACAGCTTAGAAGGAACACTGGCAGTTCTTGAAAATCATGCTGGGCCTGATGGCCCTTGCTCTGATCTAGTAAAGAGGGCTGATAGCATAGTGGGTAGAACACATGCATGGCAAGTAGAAGATTCCAAGCTCAGTTGCTGGCATTCTAGCTACCATGATCTCAGGTAGCATGTGCTGGAAAAAGGTGCTGGATAGTGTGCCTAATGTTTCTGTTGCTCTAAGGATCCTTCTCACACTTCCAGTGTCAGTGGCAAGTGGTGAACGCAGCTTCTCAAAACTCAAACTTATAGAAACACACATACGCTCAACAATGCTGCAAATGAGACTACTTGGTTTGTCAACTATTTCAATTGAACATGCTGAAGCATCAGCGCTTGACCTGAAGGAATTGGTGACTAAACTTGCTAAAGAAAAGGCACACAAAATGAGATTCTGATGTGCCTGAAATGGAAACATTAAAGAGACTTAAATTTCAACATCACAATTAACAGGATTTTTCAAAATGCTTTGTGATTTGTGTTTTTCTGTTTGAGAGAGAAAATCAGCGATTGTATTACTTGTTCTCACAATTAAAGAAAAAGAAATTAGCTATTTCAAATTTTGTGTTTTTCATTCTTCCTAAAATGCATTTATGTTTGAAAATTGGTGGGTGCACTGGGGGGGGGGGCATCAGAAGGTAGCCTCACCTAGTATGCAAAAAAAACTGGCACCGGCCCTGCTTGAATCCTAAATTACCAGCAACCAAGATCAGATTATGGGTGTGGTGCCCCTTTCCAGTTACCACCCTTCACAACTTCTTTATCTCAGGATCAGGGTTACAAGAAGACCAGGCCATCACCCTCCCTACGGTTCTCATGACCATTTCTTAACTCAGGTGTTCTCTCTCACTCACAGACAAATCAGTTGACAGGGTAGCGCAGCCCCACCCCCAACCTTCTATAACCACCCTTACTCAAACACTTCAGAGTTATTGGGGTCATACACTTTTCCATTCTCACACTACCACCATTTATTCATATCCTATAATATATAGAGTGAGATATTAACTTGTGTGTGTGTCTTTCCCTGAGACAAAAAGCCCATAGGGTTAAACCAACAAAAAAAACCCCACATTTTTTATTTATGGTGTGAACATAACACTGAAGAAAGTAAGGTAGAGGTAACAAGGTTTCTTTCCCTTTAACTTTTGAACTGTTTCCCTATTCTAGTATCTTGGATCTTGTGTTACATATTGACTCTTTTTAGTTACCGAGTTTTAAACTGATTTTCACTTCAGCTTCACTCAATCAAACATCTTTTCACTCTCAGCTCCCTAGCTGCCAACTCCCAACCGCTATTTTAACTGCTTTTCCCAACATTCCATCAGCTCTTACTGGTTACTCTTGGGGAGAGGCAGAACCTAGCCCTGTCTATCACAATGGGTTCTAAGCACCAGAAAAGAACATCCATTGCTTATACCAGCATGCTGTCCCAATACAAGTGCAACCACTGGTGCCACTGTGCTAGTGCTTACTTTCAGCCTCTATAGGTCATAGCTGTACTTGAAAAGAGACATTTACCAGCAATGAGGCTATCAGAGGTAGGCAGCAGAAGTAGAAGCTGCTATCCTTGTGTAATGTCCTCATCTCCAACTGCGTACGAGGCTAGGTCTACACGCGGTCATGTGAAGCATCCAAGCTTCGCTCCTAGAGACAATGGGCCCAGCGGATCGTAGCCTGCACCAACCCGAGGGCTAGGCTCCAGGCCGAGAGTCTATGGAACTTCCGGCCACTGTAAATAACCTATCACTGGTGTGTGTGGGTGTTTTGGGTGTGGGTTTGAATGCACATATAAGCCGGCCTGCGAGCCGGTAACTTTTGTCTTGTTATTCACCTAATAAAGTATGAAAGCTGAATTCACTAGAAAGTCTCAGTACTTTTCACCTTGGAACCAGACCCTACTGAGAATCCCCTTCCCAACCAGCCAGTTTGATGTAGTGGTTAGGAGCACAGACACTAATCTGGGAGAACCAGGTTTGATTCCTCACTCTTCCACATGCAGCTGCTGGTGTGACCTTGGGTCAGTTATGAGTTCTCTCAGAGCTGTTCTCTCATAAGCAGTCCTTGAAAGAGCTCTCTCAGCCCCACCTGCCCCACAGGATGTCTGTTGTGGAGAGGGGGAGGGAAAGGAGATTGTAAACTGCTCTGGGACTGCTTTGGGTATTGAAGGGCGGGGTATAAATCCAATCCTCTTCTCTTCTTCTCTATTTTAAATTAACACTGGTATTTATTTTTCAACATTGTGTGTGGGGGGGAATCTTCTAAAGAGTTTGAGGCATATTTTTCATCAAGGGGGAAAAATCTTCTAAAGAGTTTGAGGCATATTTTCCCCCACCCGACAGTAACTTCAAAACAGTCTTGTGAGGTAGGTTCACCATAGAAAGAATGACTGACCTCAGGTCATTCTGAGGACCTCATGGACTGAGGTCTTCCCTGTACTACAACACCAGCTGATTCTGCATTGGCTTTTCTCTCCACTGTTTTACGAAACCCACGTTGGAACAGAGATTGCCCTCTGCATTGCATGCTGGTTTCACTTCCCTTGATTATCGAGTTTT